TGGGAGCTTGAAATTTAGATGTTGTAGTTTGAGGAGGTAGAGTGTGCATTCGTAGGGAGGGTGCATTGATGTTGGAGATTGAAATATGGGGTATGCATTTTTTTTGGTGATTTTGTTATGAATGAGCATTTGTATTGAATCTATGTTTGAGGTTATGCTTTGATGCCATAGTTTGAAAGGTTGAGTATGCATTGATCTTGAGATTGTAGAGTATTGAATCTACTTGGAAGTTTGAGACTTTGATGTTATAGTACGAGGGTCAAGTGTGTGGGGACGGTATATTGATTTTGTTATGAATGTGCATTTGTATTGAATCTATGTTTGGGTTTATGACTTTGGTGAAGTTTTATATTGTGGGTGTTTTTACTTGAACTATTGTTGGGGATTGAATTTGAGGAGGTGGAGTGTTGTAGGGAGGGTGCATTGATGTTGGAGATTGATGTATTGACTTTGTTACGAATGTATATTGTTAGAGATTTAATTGTTAAATGATTATACGTTAGTTTGTTTAAATTTGATGTTGGAGATTTAACTGTTGCATACCTATAATTATGTCGTTGGAACTTTGAATATTAAAGTTAGATTTCCTATTGTTAGTGTTTTTTTATGAAGGATTGTATTTTTAGTTTGCTAATAATGTTGCTCAAATGCAAATATTTGTGCAGGATTGAAAACATGATCTTCTCTGTTGATCGTGATGCTTGAAGATCTGAAAAAAATATGTAACGATGATCTAACGTACGTTTTCCTTATAGTGAATATGTACATTTCTTATTTATGTTGTCACATTGTACACATTGTGTTTAATTTTGAAATTTAATAAGATTTTATTTAATTCCTATTATCATTGCAGGAAGTAAGTAATATGGTAGAGTACATAGAAAAGTTGGAGTTTTTATTTGCTAGCGACAAAATACTGAAAGCGTTGCTATATTTAGCGACGAAATTGCATAACGTCACAATAAGAAAATAACAAAGGGGCTGAAATTTGTATGAAAAAAAAAATTTAGCGACGAAACATTTTCGCCACAAAACCAAACCAACGACGATTTCTATGGGTGATTTCTATTGCTTCAAGCGACGAAAACGTCATTTTCGTCACTGCAGAGACAAAACGTTTTTCATCGCTGCAGTGACGAAAATAATTTTCGTCGCAAAACTTTGTGACTCGCGCGGTTTCGTCGCTGACGTCCAGTAGCGACATTTATTCAGCGACAATACGAGTGACGTTTTACTTTTCGTCGCTGAACGTGTTTGGCGACGAAAGTACTGCTTCAGCGACAAAATATTTTCGTCGCCGAGTGTCATTTTTTTTGTAGTGCAACCTGGGCCACTCTCATCCATACAAATCAAAGGACGGTCCCTTATAGGCATGAGTACATAACTCGCTTACGATTAAGTTACCTGGTTATCCTATGAAATATTAATCTAGTTAGTTTACGGTGTTATAACTAAAGATTAATCATTTCGCAGTCCGATCTTATACAAACTCATTGTATAGGATACCCCCACACGCATGTCTCCACATGAACGACCTGGATATATCGTTTGTAACTATTACAAAGCGTGTCGTATCCATACTGTTACCAAGATAAGGTACCGAACCTTATCCACTAACCTTGGATCTTAGTTTATTGGAATACGAGTAATGCAAAGAAATAATAAAACAACTATTTGTTGAATAAATAATTTGTTCATAAATTACAAATACACGAGCTAAGGGCACAAAGTCCAACAAACACCACTAGTTGCTTCTTCAAAATTTGAGGTTCATGGTCATTCAATTTGTGTGCCACACTTAATGCGGCTGCAATTATATTTGAGTTACCGTACATGCTAGGTGGACGTATTATCTGTCCTTCTCTAACGATCTCTTGCAAGAGAGTATTTTGTTAGATTTAAAGGTTACTCAGAGGTTTCACCTTCAACTTGAACTTCTATTTCCTCTGTTTTAGTTTGAAAGTTTGTATTTTGAACATCAGTATTTCAGTCATTCAAACTATTAGAGACAGCTCCACCTCAATTGTTGATTTTTCCATTTCCTTTAGATCTGGTTGTTGGACTACTTGATACATGAACATTTTGTATTCTCTAAAGACCACATCTTTACTGTTTATGCATCTTTTATCAGTTGGATGCCAAAGTATATAACCTTTAACACCTTCTGTGAACCCCACAAAAATACATCTTATCGCCATTGGTTTTAATTTTCTCTAATTTACGTGTACATAACCAACACAACCAAAAACTTTAAGATTGTCAGTTTTGGAGGATGTTTAGTCCACTTCTCCTCAGGTGTCAGAAACTCATTTGCTGTATGGAGGCATCTATTTATGGTATAGACTGTATAAGATGCAACTTCAGCCTAAAATCTTTCAGGTAAGTTGGCATCTAAAAGTAAACATCTAACTCTCTTAATTATAGTTCTATCTAGACGCTCTACAACACTATTCTGTTGAGGTGTATATCTGACTGTCTTATGGTGAGTTATTCCATTTTCTTTACAGATTGAATCAAAATCCTCCCCAAAAAATTCGAGCCTATTGTTTGTTCTTAGATGTTTGATGAATCTTAATGTTTGATTTTCAGTTAATTTCTTCATTCTCTAAACTTTTCAGCAGCTTGATCTTTAGATTTTAAAAAGAGATCCAATATTTTTCTTGAAAAATCATCAGTAAATGTGAGGAAATAGCTTAAACCAATGAGTGATGGAGTTTTGTTTGGTCCCATAAATCTGAATGTACATAATCCAATACTGCCTTTGTGACATGATTAGATTTCTGAAAACTATGTCTTCTGGCTTTACCAAGTACATAATGTTGACAGAACATTAGTTCTTGACTCAGACCTTGTGGTAGAACTCCTTGCTTAGATAGCTCAAGTAGGCTTTTATTGCTTATATGAGAAAGACGCTTGTGCTATAAGTTTGCTCTAAATATTCTCTCTTATGTGGTAATAAGTGTTGTACCTGCTAATTCAATGCCTTAGATTACATACAGACCATTCACTTTTTCTCCTACAAGAACAGTTTTTGAGTCCTTTTTTACTTCAAATGTCCCTCCATGTCCACTGTACTCACACCCAATTACATCAAACGTATCGGGTGAAATTAAGTTTCTTTTAAGACCAGGGACATGTCTTACATTCTGCAATTGTTTTAGAGAGTCATCCTTAATTTTTAATGCTACTGTTCTAATTCCTACTAATTTGCAAATATTATTGTTTCCCTTGTAAACTTATCCACCATCTAATTCCTTATATATTCGAAACCATGACTTAGACGGTGTCATATGGTAAGAACAGCCAGAGTCTAAGTATCCAATCTCCATTTTTTTGTTTGTCACTTTGCTGTGCACTATGATTAGTACTGCCAACACATTAGAGTATGTAAATGCATGTTCACCAATTAATGCTTCAGCAAGTTTTGATTTATTGATTTTTCCATTCTGCTTTCTTTTCAAAAAAATAGCAATCATTTTCTAAATGTCCTTCTTTACGACAGTAGCTACATTTTATTCTTTCCTCCATCTTCCTGTTGAGTTTTTTATTCCTTCCATTTATTCTTATACTTGCCTTTAGCGAAGTGTCCCTCTGCACTGTAATTTTTCCTTTTTGTCTCCATCAGTTCCAATTCTTTTGTTTTGACGGTTGATACTATGCCATATGTAGTTATTGATTCTCTGCCATATTTTAATGCTACTTTGTCTTCTTTATATGCCTCTAGAAGTGAATTCAGCAAGATGAATGCCTCGTTTTCATCTCTTATTTTCTCTCCAGGGTTCTTGAAATTTGAAGATATCTTCTTGAATTCATTGAGATTCTCACTTAGAGATATTGAATTTTCCATTTTGTAAGTGAAAAATATTTCTCCCAAATAAGCCTTGTTAGGTAGGTCTTTTGAAAGAAAAATGGTATCTAATTTGTTCCAGATTTCATAAGCTGTTTTGAAGTCGATTACCTGTCGCATAATATTATCACTGAGATTAAGGATAATCGTTCCATAAGCTAGCTCCTCCATGGTTTCTTTTTCTTCGGCAGTCATCGACTCAGGCAGTTTTGCTCGATCAAGAATAGCCTTTGATGACGATTTTGATGCTTTTTGTTGTCCAAGAAACGCTTTTATCTTGAAYTTCCATAACTCAAAGTCGCCCTTCCCATCGAACTTGTCAATCTCAAATCTTGCTACTGCCATAGATTTTCTTCTTTTGCTAAAATAGATGGTTTATTTCTTCTTTTGTTAAAATAATTTTCTGCTGTCAAAGCTTTGATACCAAATTGTTACSAATCTTCGAGATTTATTCTTGTTTGGAAGTTCAAGAAGTAAAGAAGAAAAAAATGGGAGGAAGAAGAGACTCACGATTTAGAGTGGTAAAGCCAATTTTGGCATACATTCACTCTAAGGCGATGATATTCATATTTTCACTTATTATTTTGGGAGAGAAATTACAAAATTGAATCAACTACTTTAGGGAAATTGGGATTTTTGACCTCTTTCAATAACCACTTTGTACTTTTGACCCCCTTTTGATTTTTACCTATTTATGATCCATCCACCTCAGATTTTTGACCCCTCCCCTTATTTTGCTTTGTAAAATTACCAAGTTACCCTCAATTTAAAAAAAGAAATCAAACCCAGCCCTCCCCTCCTTTCCCTCCCTGTCTCGGTCCTTCCTCTCCCTCATTCACTATCTCGTTGTCCATCCCAGTCTTCATCCCGGTCTCTCCCTCACAACCAGAAAGTTCATCTCCGTCGTTTCTTCTTCGTCTCTATCAGAGCTTTCCCCCTTCCCTAATTGAGGTAATTTTTCTTTCGAACTCGTGATCTTATTGTAAATGATTTTCTACCTTTTTTTTCTTCGTTCTTTGCGTGGGTGTGAATGATTTCAACCTTCGGCTCTATCTGAAGTAGCCAAGGTTATTATGAAGTTTGATTTATTGTTGCTTCCATTGTTTTGTTTTAATTTTTGACTTTCAGGGTTTCATCTCGGCTTTAAGCCCGGTGGATTTAGGACCGGGATGAAACCCTGAAAGTCCATTCCAGAAGGATGGACTTTCTGGATTCCATCTCGGGCCTCATCCCGGTTCGAAATAGACCCGGGATGAAGACCGAAATGGTATCCAGAACGACCATCCTTCTTTCTGGATTCTATCACGGGCCTCGTCTCGGTCCATTTCGGACCGGGATGAGTCCCAAGATGGATTCAAGAAGGATGGTTGGACTTTCTGGAATCCATCTTGGGACTCATCCCGGTTCAAAATGGACGGGGACGAGGCCCGAGATAGAATCCAGAAAGWMSRTATCTTGTACTTYGACTTTCTRGATTCCATCCCAGGCTTCAACYCGGTCCGTTTCTAAGCAATATTGTTTTGTTTTGTTACAGGAGACATGGATATGACACTTAAGATMAACCAAGACGACTGGTTCCCGGCCGCGCTGTCAAATCTCGCTCACGTARGGAAAACCTSTTCTCGTCTTAAGGCTAGGTTAACTCCCTCTCAGTTAGACATGTTTAGTCAAACATGTTTTGGTCCGATTTTAGGGATGAACGTTGTATTTAACGGTYCGTTGCTCCATCACCTGTTGCTTAGAGAGGTGGAGGAACCTAGAAACGACCTCATTAGCTTTAACCTATTCGGGAATAGGGTCTCTTTTGGGAAGCGGGAGTTCGAYCTAATAACCGGTCTTAGACACACCATGAATAGGSTAGACGAGGATGTTCATAACYGGAGACTTAGAATTYTGTATTTTCAAGACAAGGCGAGTGTGAAGTGTTCGGAGTTGGAGAAAATTTTTTTAGAACACACATTCGAAAATGACGAGGACGCTGTGAAGATTGCTATAGTGTACTACATAGAGTTTGCCATGATGGGCAAGGAAAGGAAGCAGAAAATGGACACGAGCCTCCTTGGGATTGTGGATCGGTGGGAAGTTTTCTGTGATTATGACCGAAGTTCAATGATTTTTGAAAGGACTCTCTGGAGCTTGAAGAACGCTCTGAAGGACAAGGTCGAGGCGTACAAACAGAAGGTCGCTATAGACTCGAGCCATGTTGAGACGTATAGCTTGTATGGGTTTCCATACGCTTTTCAGGTTAGTGAAATTTAAATGTAATTTATTATATATTTATGTACCTGTGAAATACCGTAGAGTCTAACTTAACGTGACTGCAGGTTTGGGCATACGAGACAATATCAACCTTGTCGACTCGAGTAGCATTGAGGCTGAATGACGATGCTATTCCTCGTCTACTTAGATGGTCMTGCACCTATTCGCGTGCTTTTAATGTTTTGGAGCGAGAGGTCTTCGAGAACGTCAAGGTGAGTACAACATGTTCTTATTGTTTTTAGTATTTAATATTAAAATTGACCTAACTATTTGTGTTATACAGTCGAAGGTTGTAGTTCGTTTGGAGGCGACTGATGTCGAACGACAGCACATGGCTCGCGTTATGCATCCACCAGTGGCCCCTGTCGGACCTCCTGCACCCACAGAACTTGCTACAGAACCACTGGCTACTACTTCCACCGCTCAGAAGTCTCCCGTTACTAGTGAGGTTGGGGATCTAGTTGAGCTCGATGATGTAGCAAAGGATGCTTCCCCACTGGTTGATCGTGTAACAGAAGATATTATTGGGACCGATGGAGGACAAGATCAATTGTTGCCACAGAAAGGGACGGAGAAGAAGAAGAAGAAGTCGAAGCATAAGTGGAGTCGAGAGCTGCGGAGGCTCGGCGACAGAGTGACGGCCATTGAGACAACTCTGACGGGCATGACGACTGACATAAAGGACATAAAGAAGTTTATGAAGAGGCTAACAAAGGTAAGGGTTATTGTATTGTATTATCTGAATTTCTTGTTCACATCCGTATATTTATAATTTTTATTACGTAGGTTATGTCGAAGGGCCAGAATAAATATGATAGAAGGGGCGGTGTGCCGGATCAGGATGGTTCTTCGGGTGGACGTGATCCAAGTGGGCGTAACGAGGAGGATATGGACATGGATGAGGATCCGAAGACAGGGAAAGAGCCGAAGACAGGGGACGAGCCAAGGATGGACGAGGATCCGAAGACTTGTGAAGAACCCACCGACGTTCACGAAAGTGATGTGGAGATGGATCACGCTCCTACCATTGTTGGAGCTACCCAGGAGGTCCCAAGTGGCCACYCTAGTCCGGTCGACGTAATTGAGGTATTTCTGTAACGATACTAACTTTTTTACGTTAACCTAACTTTATTTACTTAAAACAAATGTTCGTCCATTTTTAGGATCTTACTCTAGGTACGTGCGCCAGTGATGGGGAGGCAAAGTCAATTTTCCCAAAATACAATGTATTAGTCCTTCTAATAAATTTTTGTTTGAGATACATAAATGTCTACATATTACAACGTAAATAGCCATAATATTGCTACACAGTCTTTAGTGGTTCGCGACAAGTTTTACGATTGTGTCCCGACGTACCACATCGACTGCACTTGCGCGGTGGACAGACCTCGCCTGTGGAAGGAATCCTCACCGTCTATCGCCGTCCAACCCTAACGACCTTCTTCGGTGGTTGAACATCGATRTTCACAAACCCCGGAGAACTCTTCCATGTTGAGGATGAACCCACTGGAAATATTGGTTCTGCATACGCCAACATCCAGCTGTTGACCGTGTACGCCTCATCGCATAGTGTGTACGGATTTATGCTACGAGAACAGGCTGCAGCAATAGCATGGGAGCACGGGACTTTAAAATAATCGAACTCCCGACAAGTACACGTCTGCGATTGCAAGTCAACGTCCCCATTGAGGTTCCCATCGCGTACCTCAAAATTAAACTGGTCGATGTTCATAACAATGTGTCTCCGTGCATTATCCGAAGCTTCGGCAATCATTTCCTCTGCGTAGTCAGANTGTCTCCGTGCATTATCCGAAGCTTCGGCAATCATTTCCTCTGCGTAGTCAGACAACGTACTCTGACGTGAAGAAGCAAGCGTCCGACGTTCGTAGAACCACCTCTGCAACACACCTCTGATATGATCAAGTAATGCGGTGACTGGCAACTTACGTGCATGCCTAAAAAGGGCATTAACGGACTCTGCAATATTGGTGGTCATTTGTRAGTATCTTAGTTTCGTCTGAAAGCAGCGAGCCCATCGTTCCTTTCCTATARCTTCCACATATTCCCTCACTCCTGGGTGTGCGCACAGTTGGACCCAGTTCTCATTGAAATATGACTCGCGACATGCCTTCGCAGCCTTAAAAAATAATTCCTCCAACTCGGACGTTTTAAATTTGGCCAGCAAGTTCATCTTTAGATGATGTATACAAAAGCAATGAAATGCAGTAGGAAATACCTCATCAATCGCTTTACAGATGGCGGCATGTCTATCAGAAATGAAGACCAAATTCTGAACGGTGTCGACAACACTCTTCAATTGAGCCATAAACCATACCCATGATGCGACGCTCTCACTCCCRACTATTGCAAAAGCAACTGGGTATATTTGGTTATTCGCATCAATAGCARACGTAGTTAGTAATACACCTCCGTACTTCCCTTTAAGGTGTGCCCCGTTAATAACCAAAACTGGTCGAATGCAACACATAAAACCTCTAATTGATTGACCCATGGCCATGAAGACATATTTGAAGTACTTGCTATCATCCAACTCCAATTCAAATATAGTACCTGGGTTCATGATTTTCAYGGCTTCCCCATARGCGGGTAGTAGCCCGTACGATGAAGCTGGATCCCCTCTGATAAGTTAGAGTGCTTCTTCGCTCGAACGCCAGGCCTTGTCGTAACTCACATTTACACCGTACTCCTCACGAATATCTTGGATGATGTCCTTCGGCCTGTACGTGCGAGAAACATCAGTAAACTTTGATTGTACTAGATGACCGACCACCCAACTCTTCGCCTGATGATGATCCTGTTTCATAAGGGCACCATTGCAATTAGAATGGACTGCGATATATTTCTTTATCTTAAACAGGTTGCAATCTCTAATCTCAGTGGCTCTAAGTCGCCACGTGCAAGTAGGATCGACGCATCGCAGCAAGTATATTTTCGGCGTAGACTTCTTCACTCGAAATTGAAAGTTCTTCCGCAATGCAAGTAAATGCATTTTCATAACTAGTTCCTTCTTCGAGTCGAATACATCACCCTCCTTAACATCATTGGTCCCAGCCGATTGGACCATGGCTTGCAATCTATCAGCTTCTGACTGACCGGTGAGTCTATTRCTTGWCGTTTCATGGACGGCATCTACAGGATATTCAGCCATTGTATTATGAATTGTTACATCTTCATGCTCATGTTGCACATCAAGTCGATCACTGGCGTGCTCATTTCCATATTCCCTTTCGTCGTCTCCTTCTTCCGTGTCGGTCATTAGACGATATGATTCATCA